CGATAAGCCCAAAGCTAGTCAGGTGGGGAGGATGAGGTCGTAAAGGGCCCGGCCGCCACGAGAAATCAATTTATTTATTTTCATTCAGGGTTCTTCCTGCCAAAATCCGGGTTCGGATAACATCTGTGCGATAGGATGCGAGGCGCTGGCTAGCTAGGTGTTCATGATTGCCGTGTCCTGTCAGCCGTCGAACAAGCAAATAAGGGTAATCATTACACGCGCTGCCCCACCCTCGCACCGCCCAGCAAGACCAATCTGGATTATTCCTTTCCCTCTCTCTGTGTACCACTATGACATCCTTACATAGAGTGTGTAGTACTCCACCCACCTACCCACATATTTTCTTTTTAATTCAATAAGCAGCGAGGCGAACTACTCTTCTCGCCGAGCGCCGAGCGCAGCACTCCGTCACGACACGCCTTAAAAATGACACGCCATTTTGACAAGCCTAATCGGCGGGGCGACAGTTGGCAGGTGTTCCATCGGTGGCGCGGCGCGACGGGCCGCTCCGTGGCTGTCTCCGGGGCGAGCCGCCCTCGTTACGTGACAACCCGGCGGGGAGGATGAGAGGAGAATGCGGAACCTTCCGCTCTCGAAAACAACTGCTTTTATATAACTCGCAGTCCGCCTGCCCTACGGGTGAAAGAAAGCAGATTGCGGGGTTCGTTTTTTTTTTTATATTCTTCTCTCGTTTTTATCGTGCGAGTGGGCGGCGATCAACAAAGCGCACGGTACAAGCAATTTCCGTGCGCCCGGCAAACAGACGCTCTCACTTCGAACGCGGCCCGGCGGACTTAAGACGTCGATCCATCCAGCTAGAGCCTGGCCGGGGCGGCGGGACGGACGAGCCGGGACGCCTCCCAGGACGTCGTCGTGACGGTCGTCCCTCTCTCTCTCCTCACTCTCCCTCGAGCCCCGTCCTCCCGCGCGGCGCTGCCTTGAAATGATGGCCAGGCTTCACAATGTGTTTCGAAGGGAAAGTCTGTCTGGGGAGGGTCGTGAGGGGGTGGGGTGCCCCGGCAGGGGCGGCTCGCTGGGCACGGGGTTAATTAGAGAGCCAGTCGGCTTGGATTCGGGCGACCTGCCCGGCGCAGAGCGGTTGCAAGGGGCGGAGAGGAGGGGAAAAGGGGGAGGTTGTGCGGTATGCCCAACAGCGCAACTATAATACGCGTACATGTGGGTGGACGTGTGTGCGTGTGTGCGTTGGGTGTGCGTCAATGTTTGAGCAAATTTCTGCAACTGTCATGAGAAGGTGGGCGTAAGAGAACAGTAGGCAACCGGCAAGCAGTTTTGGTCAATGCCAAACAGTATAGTGGGTCAAGTAAGTTTGCCTCCCTATTACATTATAGAACAAGCAGCTCTGCGAAAACTCACTCCCCAAAGCAACTAAAAACATGATAAGAGCAGTTTATAATAAAAATTCTTTTTTAAGGGCATAAAAATGAAAGGACCGCAAAAGATATGGCGGTTTAAGCCGCACCTCGTTTGCATTCGCTGTCCCCATTGTCTGCAGGAGGCAGCAGCAAAGCAGGCCTGGCCAGCCATGGGGATTCCTTATCCTGTTTCTTGTGTCAACACAATCCCGTTATTACAGGAGTCAACACTGTTGGCACTTTGGACGTCTCTCTCCCTCCCCCTCGTTGACAGTTGCGTCCTGGTTAAATTAGCGCTCCACAAGGAAAAGGAGCCGCGTTGGCGCGCCGGACCGAGAGCACTGGACCGGCGGCCACAGCCTACTGGAGAGAGGGGTAGGTAGGTGGGAGGGCGGGAAGGGGTTGACGACCTATAAGCAACTGAGAGCGCAGAACAGGGGGCTGCCAACTCCTCCTATTCTGCGGAAGCCCACCTGAAGCGAGTGGGTGTGTCGCAAGAGTGTTTCCGAAGGCGCCCCCGTGTCGTAACGGCCCCCTGTATAACGGCCACTTATGCCCGCGGGGGGAAGGGGGGGGGGGCGAGCACACGGAGGCCTAACCACGGGGTCACTAAAACGCGAAGAGGCGAGGAGAAAAAAGTTTCCGCCACGTGGGTTCTTATTTTGCAACAGCGACGACGCGCCTTCTCTCTTTGCGTCTCTGCACGAGGTAGACACTTGCGAAAATGGCGCATATGCCCGTCTTTTTTTTACCCAAGGCATAGCGTGTGTGTGTGGGACTGTGTAATTGGCACCCTGTTCACCTGCCCTTGTTTACGGCGCCTAACACTTTACGAGCCGCGGGATGGGGATGGCCTGCAGCGCGATGGAACAATCGCCAGTGCTGCATCCCGCCGACACGTCGGCCGGACAGACGGACAGGCTCTCATCGCAGTGTATCGCCGTTTGGCTTTTATCGGTCGTAACGCAGAAATTGCACCGCGGCTCTGCGGGGGAGCCTGCCGAGTGCAACGCTATTACATTTTCAAGTAGGTGGCGGCGGTCCGTTGGGCGGCAAACTTGGAATATGCTACGACGATTGCCGTAGGTTTCTTTATTCCCGTGAGAGACGCGCCCTGAACAAACTTTATAGAGCATAGAGGGTGCGCTAAAACGCCTTTCAAGAGAACGTTAAAATAACCGATATCACTAACCATTAATCCCTGTTTCTAGGCTGGTAACAGAGCCTATAATTTTTTATGGTGTGTTATTAAGGCATATAAAACATAAACATTTCGGTGCGAAACGCTGCTCTGCCCCGTTCGAAAGCTTAACTAGAGAGGCCTACCACTTTCAACGCGCGACTATTACCCTACTTTTATTCTTAATAATAATATTCGTGGTGAGGGTCACAAAGGAAATACAAGCGCAAGGGGGTAGGGGGAGCGGCGGTGGGCCTGGGATTGGATCCTACACCCCAATATCCCCAATCGCCACAATATCGCATGGGCGTCACGTCCGCTGGCGCAGCGAAATCATTGCAGTTAATAATGGATGTAATGACACCTACACGCCTTTGCCGCCGCGCCACGCCATGCCACGCCGCTTGCACTGATAACAGGCTGGAAGGGAGGGGGTGCGTTGAGTGCGTTTCGAAAGACCAAAAAGATCTCCATTCAGCTTTGTTTCAATTTCCATTATCATTCAAGCAGCAGCTACTGTTGTTTTTTTCTGTTATCTTTTTTATAGGGTAACGCCAATAAATTACGCAGTTTAAATATTTCCTGGTATGTAAACGCTCTTATCCATTATTAAGGTAAATACAAGAAGAAGTCCTCACCCACCTTCCCTATTCAGTTTTTCTTCTTCTTCTTCTTTTTTTTTCTTTTTTTTTTTTTTTTTTTGAATCACCGAGTCTGCCAGGCACCGAGTTGGAAAGAAAGTAGTCGTGCCCCCACTGGGAAGCAAGCGCACCCCGGCCGCGCCCCGTGCCGCCCGCCCGAGCAGCCAGCCGAGATATAAGCAGTGCTGGGCGGGGCGGGACTGGCCGGGGCAGCCCGGGGCCCGAGGGTCTCCGCGGGGAAGATTTTATTACCAACTTCGCGTCTCGCCTCCGGGCGTCTCTCCGGCGCGCTCAGGGCCGGGGGTAAGGGGCGCAACAAGGTGTTACCCCTGGCCCTGACGGAACTGACTTACCCCCGTCGCTAGCTCAAAAATGACTCGTTAACTACCCTCTTCTCCGACCTCTCTCCATGTCCAGTTTTCACTCCATACCTTCGCCGCCGTAAAGTCCCCCGCCACATGAATGAAAGCAGTCGGGACTATTATTATAACCGACGAGAAAATCGATTAGTTCATGAGATATCGGCGCGGGAGCAGGAGTATGGTGCCCCTCGTCTCCCTCCTCGGCCCCTTCCGAACCTCCTCCGCGACCCCCTCGACCCCGGGGCCGTTCATTGCGTAGTCTGCAACAAGTGGCGCCAGCCAGGGCCGCGTCCGCTGCCCCCTCTCACTCTTTCATTACTTATACCCCCATACCACATACCCCCCCCCTCCTCCTCCCAATCCCTTCTGTGCTCCTCTCGGATGCCGCTGCGGTCGCTCCAAATCATATTGTAAAAATGAGGCCGAATTTATGACCCTCCATTTACTTGGTTCGCAGAGCGCACAGCGCACATCCCATACCACTCGTTTTCTTTCCACATTCTTTCGTACCATCAGGCTATCTATGCCTCTCGTTGCAAGTACTGTAAAAGCAAATAATGTATGCATGGCTTTGTGTTTTAGTTTAGCCCCTTCCCTTGATAACATATGTAAGGTGTGAAATAATAATAATAATCATTTAGCTTAACAAACAAGTGATACAGTTCGGTAGCGAGGTCCCCAGCGATTGAGGTCGAAGGTCGTGGTTTGACGAGCACGAGAGCCATCCAGTATGACCGTCTGGGCTGATCTACACCTAAAGCTGTTCTTGATTTGAAAATCACTCTTAGGGCTGATCTACACCTAAAGCTGTTCTTGATTTGAAAATCACTCTTAAATTCTCATGAAGTACTCTCTTGCAAAAATATCAATTTACTTTGCAGAAGGGCAAAGCTTTGAAAATGATTCTCAAATGAAGAACCCATTTGTTCTGGAGGCTCGCTCTAAAGAGGTGGCGCAGAGCAGACGTGTTCCTTGCAGTGCACACAGCCGACATCACTACTATCATCGATATAAAGAGAAGACGCAAAAGAGCTGCCGCTCGCCCCGGCCTGCCTGCTCCGTTTCTTTTCGGCGGTTCCGCAACGCATTTCTCTCTTTCAGCCGTATATCTCGGTGCGTATCGCTCGCATAAAGGAGCCCGGCCCGGTAGTGCGCGCCAGCCACGGTGAAGCCAAGTGCAGGGGGCGGCTAAAGTACGCGCCACTGGCTAAATTCACAGAAAGAAACAGATCTAGAGTAGGGGACCCATTGCTGAAATTGGCATAAAGCGCGTTTGAGGAAAAAAGTAAATATTTAAACGGGGTCAATCAAGTAATTCTAGTGAGCTCGGAAGGTGCTAGGAATCAGTTACTTTGGCAATTTGATTGCCCTTTCTTCTTTCTTTAAGTATTTGAAGATATACTTGAAACATTTGCCTCTTACGATGCATCGATGCACGACTTACCTATGAGAAGCAGAAGTAGCAGCACACCGGGCACCGCCACCGGCGACGTCCACCGACACTCCATCTCCGTCTGCAGGCACAACAAAAACAGTTCTTGTTAACACTCATGAGCATCGATGAGATAAACCACGGAAGTGTTAACGTGTTAGAAACTTTTTTCGAAAAAGTAAACCGCCCTGTGTGCGAGTTTTAAATGTGGGGCTCGCATTTTGCTGACGCCCATCACATTAAAGAGTTATTAAGCTCCCAGGGAGCTGCGCGCCACGCTCAGCTCCGCTCAGCTCATGTCAGGCGCCGTGCCAGGGGCTGATTACAAGGCGAGGGGAGGAGGAGCCCCACCTGGCACCACGCCTGACTCTTGCTCAACAGAAAGTGTCTGACCAGGGTCGCAGGGTCGGGGTGGGGCGCAGGGCGCAGGGTCGGGCAAAACGATCTGGAAGGGCATGAATAAAGGCCGACCTAAAGTGGACGTCGCGCGACAAGTCTCATCTAAACTGGAAACACGAATTGAAGATGGGACACTGACAGTGAGGACGGTTCGGAGAGCGAGACTCGTGAAGGGCGCAACATGCGAAGGAAGGCCCACAGCGAAATTATTTGCAAAACAATGAGAAAGTTATCTTTGGGAATTTCAAGCTTCGACTAAGTTTAATTAGCTGAAATAATTGAACATGGCGTTCCAAGCGAGTGCAATGCGGTAGCGGACGGACCCATTTTTTTTCCTCTGAATGCGCCCGGACCCTCCCTGCGCGCGCTCCCCCAAATGCGAATCATTTTTCAACATGTGCCAAAAACGCAAATTAGTCCGGACCGCGACGGTCAAAAAAAAAAAAAATTTTGGTCAACAAAGGAAAGGGCTTGTGCGTGTGTGTAAGAGAGGGGGCGTATGTGCGCGGGCGTATAATTTATCGGCCTTCGGTCCCTATTCCATCCGTTACGCCTGGTCTGCGCCGGCCCCATACCACTCGGTGATGAGGTTCATATTCTGTGCCCACCGAGTTTGGTGGCGAGTTGGTTTGCCCCCAGGCGGGCCGTTGCAGGGACGGGGGAGTGGCGCCGGACGGCGTGGCGCAAGGGGGTCGGCATAAGACCAAACGAGAGAGAGCGGGGAAGGTATTGGGGGGAACCTATGGATACGCTCGGACCCTTAGTGGGGTCCGCGCGGCAGGGGAGGGACGAGGTTGGGGGGAGGGAGGGAAGGACCAGCGTCGTAAAATGTTATGCGCCGTGCGGTAAGGAGGCGGGGTGGGGCCCGGTAGGGGTGTGCAGCCCAGCCCTCCCCGAGAGGGTGCCGAAACGGAACGCCACCATCCCATCACAAGATGATCACGCGCCCTGGATCACGATATTAGCCCCCCCCCCCCACACCGCGCGAGCGTTTTCTCATTTCCCCCCCCCCCCCCTCCTCTCTCCCGTTTTCCATCGCCCTTCGATTTATAGGAGGGAAATTTTAGTAAATGTAACAATAAACTAAAGCCATCAGCAGGTACATGATTGGGGGGGAGGAGAGAGGGTAAGAAAGAGACAGGGGGAGGAGAGAGGGTAAGAGAGAGAGAGGGGGGAGGTGGGTGGAAACGAGAGTGCAGACAGCGGAAAAGTTGGCCGGCTCCAGGAGAGATGGGCTAAGAGGGTTTGAAATCTGTCTGCGAGCGCCGCCCGCCCCTCAGCTGCTCCCGCCCCTTTTCGAGTTGCCTTCCTGACTGCCACACCGCCCTTCACATCGACAACTTCCGGCCGCCCGTTCGGAGCCCGCCTCTGTGACTGAACGTAATCAAAAGATTAGTAATTTCCGTGATGATTCGCCTTAATGGATTAGCGGTTGGGCGTGGCGGGGGAAGAGGCCTCGTCGGGGAGGTGGGGGGTGGAGGAAGAGGAGGAGGGGGCTGAGAGTCACAAGGTGTGAACAATGAGACAGAGAGCAGGGGGCCAACCCCGCCATGCCCCGCCTAATCCGACGCCCCAAAACTTGTCAACTCGCGGCGCGCGTC